TATATATATATATATATATATATATATATATATATACAGTGGCTAGAAGTATAACTTGCATACACCCCTATGCATGTATACGCGTGTATGCATATGTATGCAAGGGGGGTTTATGCATGTGTATGTACCTTTATATGCATGCACATGTTCTATGCACAAGAATGTGCTCGATGTGCTTCTGCTGTTCCCTTTTTAAGGGAGGGTCTCTCCCTCTGTGGTTTGCCACCACGATTTTTAAGCAGATCTGTTGAAGCGCTAACAGTTCACATGAATGCATTTTACTTGTGCAGAAGCCCCTCTCTCGGTTGGGTTCTGTCTTCTTGCACAGGATTAGAGAGTAGTAGAAACCATATTGAAATAGACATATGAGCATATCCGAGGGCACGGGAAGCGAGAGTCGGTAGCACGCGGAAGCCTCATGTGCGCTTCTTCCCTTTATCCGAAGAGGATGAGGGTAAGACTCCTGTGGAGCGTGCGTTTCTTTCTCTGGTGGCTTCAGGCTGATCGCAACCTCAGAAACGATCCCAGATCCAACGACGGAAGCGTACAGCCCGACATACAACGAGGCAAGTGTTCACCGCCGCCAGTCGGATTTTCGTATCCAGTTGGCTAGCTGTCTAGCTTCGTAGCTAGCGAGACAGGCAATTCGATGGCTACCGAGTTGGCCGGGCTGCAGATTTATTGCCTTCCAGCGTAGCACTGTGTGCATCCTGGGTTTGTTCGTAGCTGGGGTTTTCGCACGTTGAGTTATTGCTCCATGCAGGGTTGGAGTTTGTGTGTCGCGACCTGGTGTCTACACTGGCGTACGGTGGAGAGACTATATTGGTGTTTCTGCCTGGAATTGCGGAAATTTCGACTTTGTTTGAAACGCTGGCGCCTCTGGAACGCGGGGAGGGAGAGGCTGTTAAGGCTGGCAAGGACGGGGAGGCCAGCGGCACAGGGGAGACACCCGGAGCACCGGGTGAAGGAGCAACAGAAGAAGGATCGCGACCTGAAGCGCCCCTGTTCAAGTTGTTTGTGCTGCACTCAACAATCGGCCGCGAGGAACAGGCAGAAGTCTTTAGCCCCCCTCCGCCCACCGTCTGTCACGTCGTCCTCGCCAGCAACATCGCGGAGAGCTCGTTGACATTGCCCAATTGCCGCGTTGTCATTGACTTTTGTCTCCGCAGACAGATGATCTATGACCGTGTAAACCCTAATCACCAAACCCTACCCCCGCCAGTGCCCGCCGCTAGTCGCCAGCTGGCGACTAGCGAGTAGATACCTTCTTCTGTCCCTCGACTACGCGAATTTTCTGAGGTTTCAGTAGACAGCTAATGGAGACACAATCACTGCAATTCCACATCTGCATGCAGCAGACCCCCACACACCTGGTAATAGATGTGGGGACGCAGCGAGAGGGAGCAGCTCTTGGGCTGAGTTCGCTAACTTCGGATTGTATTAACAGCTGCGTACCAGCCAATTCACCATTACCAGAGATGTCTGCCCATCTGTCTCTGTCGTCTGTCGCTCCCTGCATCCAGCCTCTTGAACGTTTGTGTATGTCTGTGCCTCGCGCTCCACTTGTGGCCTTTGGTTGCCTTTGTGCCTGCGCGCTGCCGTGCGTGTCTGATGCAGAAGCGCCACGCGTCAGCGCTGGTCAAGGCCTGGACGTCACATGCATCTTCCCAGCAGCGCAGTGGAAGGACAGGTGAGGGCTAGGCGTTTCTCCCTGTGCCATTCTGTTCGTCGTGATTGATCTTTCCTCGTATCTGTCTGCTCTCGTTGCTGCACCTCCACTCCTCTCTCGCGCTGCTCTCCGCGGCTCCTATATGCGTCTCTGGGTTTGGCTCACGTGCTCACGCCTGGCGTCGCTCGTATGTTGGGTCTCCTTCGGCGTTGCCGACATGCCCTAATTGCCTTTGATGTGCCTCTGACAACCCCCTTAGCTGTCCCGTTTTTGCACCCTGTACCATCCTTCCGGTGTGGGACTTTTACCCCGATGCCTCCTCTTGTTTTCCGGCTGTTGGCCCTGTCGCTGGCATCTTCTTAGTTGTGTATATGTGTTTATGTGTATGTGTGTATATGCATTAGCATGCCTATATGCGTATGCGTATGTTAGCATATGTGTATGCTTGTATCCGTTGTTAGTTGCGCTATTTTCTATGTGTGGGTTGCGTGCAAACTCTGACTTATTTTTTCCTGACGTACGTATTCTGCTCCTCCTTTTGTGTCGTAGTCTGTTGGTTTCTGCGCTGCTGGCTGCTTTGCAGGCCGTGTGTTCCCTGGAGTCTGCGTGCGTCTAGTGCCATTACGATTTTACCAGACGAGCCTCCGTGTATTCGATCTCCCCGAGATGCAGACAGCGCCTTTGGACAAATTGTACATTACTGTCGCCCACATGACAAAGCGCCTGAATGCCATCGCCCGCGAAGCGCATGCAACGCCCACTCCGGAGGGGGGTTCTGCTCGGCTGCCTGACGAGCCCAAGACAATCCAAGGTATATAAACGCTTCGAATCACACACTACAGCCAAAAGGGGACGTATAGATGTGCACGTTCTCCCACCAGCAGGAAACTGGCCAAGTTCGTGTGGCGTCCAGGAAGGGCTCCTGTGGCGTCCATTGCTTGTGTTCAGACTGCATGCGCGCCGGCTCCTTAACTCCCGCTCAGCTCCTTCTCCTCACTGTACAGCCACCCCCGGCCTCTGCACTTCAATATGCCCAGGCAAGCTCCAGACCGTTTTGCTGCTACTCTTGTGGAGGCGGCTACTGGTGCCCAGTGGGCTCCATGGAGGGTCATTCCAGACCCAGATCCTGCTCCATTTGTTGACACGACCGCTGCTATTGCTGCATCGACGTCTATTGACCCTGATGCTGCTATTGCTGCTGTTACTTCTGTGGTTGCTGCAGTTGAGGGGCTGTTGCTCCTTCACCGGTGGCAGCCCTTCTTGATCTCTGATACTGAGGGCTCCGGGTGTTTGCGTAGGGATTTTGTGTTTTTCAGGCAGATCTTAAGAGCCAGGGAGCACTCGATGCGAATGGGGATATAACGAGCCTGGGCTACCTGATGATGCAGCTGCCAATAGATGTGCGGCTTTGCAAGTGAGTCCTTGGACGCAGAGGCCTGTGTGTTTTCTTTTTCCGGGTGTGAGGTAGGTTGAAAGGTGTCTTGCTATGCCGTCCTTACTTCAGCTCGTGAGAATACATGTGTCATGGGAACTCATACGAGGTGGTGGGCAAGGGCCAACAGACGGCAGCATTGTGAGCTGTATATAAGAATTAGGCATGCTATTCTGTGTTTTGCAGACTAATATTCCTAGGTATTGCTTTCGGCTGCCCACTGGACGCCGTGGTGCTGGCTAGCTGTCTAGCTAGCTCCGATTTGTTCGCTTTCCCAGCGCTGATGCTACTTCAAAGACACTCCAAGGCGAGTGCAGGATATGAGGCCGCGTTACAGCTGCAGCAGCAACTGAAGTCAAGGGCTTTGTTCGATGGCGGCCACTTCTCCGAGCCGCTTATGCTGCGGTGAGCGAGTTATATTTACGTCTGAGGCGCAGACCCTAAAACCGTCACGCGCAGGCCCAGCCTCACCTGTCATAATTCCCCTTTCCGGACTCTGCAAAGCGTGCAGTTGCTATGATTTGAACCAATTTAGGTGCGGTGCCGGTAGTACTGCCTGTACACCGTAACACCGTTTATGAGCTGTCCAGTGTTGTGGAGTGGCGTCCTTCGCGTTAGAATGCACCGTGGGCTCGAGGGATGCCTAGTGTGTTTAAGGTTCGGGCGTCGTGTAGGCATGCCGTTGCCCCGACCGAACTCTTTTTCCTTCCGTATGCTCTGTTGTGTGTAGAGGTGCTTTGCTACTGCAGCTGCTGTGGGAGCATTGTACTGTGTTTTGTGTTGGCCCAAGGGGCTACTCTCTGTTCTGTCCTCCGCCTCTGTCTTGTTGTGTATCTTCCTGTTGCGTACGGTCTGTGGTAGTTTGGTTTCCTCTGAAGTTGTTAGATGCGTTGTGCTGCTGCTCTTCTGCCCATCTTCGAATGGCTGCTGCTGCTTCATGCATGCGCCTCATGAGCCGCTTTGTTTCTCGTAGGAACTGCTTTGTTGAGTTTCTCTTACACTTTGCGGGTTCGACAGCTGAACTCCGCTCGCGCCTGGCGCGGCAGGCAGCAGGGAGCCGCCCCCGCCGATTGGAATTGAACATGAAGGTGAGCCGCCTGGGGACTCAGCAACATATTGACGGCAGCACGTGATCCCTGCAGCTGCAACAAAACCTGCACAGACTGAGACATATATATATATATATATA